TCCAATGACTGTCTAGTTTCGCTGCAGTGGAACAACCCACTCTATGCTTCCCCAGTGAAGTCTTTGGACGCTGAGCTTCCACTGTTTAATGCACTGTGACGCTATGGGAATGAATGAGAAGAAAGTCGCGTCAGTGACCTGTGATAAGTAGCTGATTCTGAACAAAAGTTGAATGCATTCTAGCACATATTTAGTCAATGAAATGTAAACACAACAGTACATATTTGACCACTTATTTTTTGACATTTTAGGGTAAGCTGAGCTTCCCTTGCAGTCTTAGAGCAATCGCCACTGGAATGGATGCAGCTTTGGTCAGCAGTTGAGAAAGAAAAGATTTTGCCTGTGGAATTATGCGGATGGCATAATTGAGGTGCCCGAGGAGAGCGAGCAGCTGGCATTTGGTGCACCTGTCTGTCAGGAGATAATTAGACAAGAGCAGCAAGATGCGCTGCACTTTCTCCAAGGGCAGTGAAGCCTGGAATGCCAGTGAGTTCAGAGTGATGCCCAGAAACTTGATGGACGTGCCAGGTCCTGAAGTTTTCTCTTCGGACAGAGGGACGCCGAGGTCGGAAAATGCGGACGTAAGTGTAGTGAGACCGTGGCAAGGAGGTGAGGATGGAGGAGTCACGACAAGAAAATCGTCAAGGAGATGAAGCATGTAGGGGAGCCTGTAATTGTTGGAGAGGATCCAGCATAGAGCCTCAGACAGAGTCAAAGATTTTGGGACTGCTCTTGCAATTTTGGGACTGCTCTTGCAGCCGAAAGTGAGGCGCACGGAGAAGTAGTAAGCCCCCTTCCAGCAGACACCAAAATAACACCAGAAGGCAGGGTGAATGGGCAAGACCTTGAATGCGCTGGTGATATCAGCCTTAGACAGCCATGCCCCATGTCCCGCCAGACGGATCAGTGCCATGGCGTGGTCAATGGTGGCGTACTGCATGGAGAAATCCGGGCTAGGAATAAGGCTGTTGATGCTCGGGATGTCGGAGCCGTGTGGGGAAGACAGGTCAACGATCAGCCTCTTTTTCCCCGAGTATTTGCGTGTGGCGACACCAATGGGACTAATACGGAATACAGAGAAAGGAGGATGATCGAAAGGGCTTATCATAAATCCCTCAGTGACCTCTTTTGCCAGTAACGTGTCGACAGTGTCAGGCTCAGTGAGAGCGGATTGAAGATTGTGACACGTGTGGGAAGAATCGGGAAGCACCTCCATGCCCGGATGAAAACCATGAGTGAAGCCAGAGATGAGAAAATCGACAAACTGCTTATCAGGGTGATCACTGACAGCAGCAGTGAGTGCACGTACCTTGATGGGCATGCCGAGGTGACGTTCTAGTCATGCTGCTGTGTTGGTGGGATTGTGGGGGCAGGTGGTCCTGGCGTGAGCGCCCCTGCAGAAGGAGCAGACGTGCAGGAGGCGGCAGCCGGACGAGTTGCAACCCCACTGATTGAAATTATTGCACACCATCCTGCCGCCCTGATAGAGGATCGGCCGTCCTCGCTTGTTGACACCCTTTGACACCGGCATGGTGACAGTGGGACGTGCGTCCTTGGCTCTGGGGATGACAGGAGGAGGAGGTGCAGCGGAAGACAGACGGTCGAAGATTGGGGCATTGCGTGGAGTGGTGGGGCGGGAGTGCAGTGGAGGAGCCATGATAGTGCATGCAGAGGCCGGATGAGAAGGGGTGCCGCATAAGTCGCAGGAGAGGGAGGAACGAGCTGCGAAAATGCGGCAGTATATTTCAGAATCGAGGACCCCCAGTACGTCCCCTGATTTAGCTGCTGCAACCGGCCGGCTGCTTGTGCAACAAAGTGGACATGGTAGATATAAAATCCCGCCCCCCCGAAACGCAAAGCCATGTCCAACACGATGAACAGATAGTCGTCCAGCTCTGATCGTCAGTAAGGATAAGCAGAACAGATGACGTCGCGAAAGAGGGAGAAAGCTAGAGCAAACTCAACAGGAGTTAAGTCTTTAGACCTGGCTGGCAATGACTACTCTAATAGAACTGGACCGAGGACAGTCTGCAGCTCCCTGGGTTGACTACCGTCAAAAAAGGATGGCTGAATGAGCTGGGCTAGGTCTACATAATTACCGGACAATATTTGCTGGCACAGTGAGTGCGAGACGCGTGAGGGGCGGTGGATGGCAGAGGCCGGCAGAGCCGGTGGTGTGGCTGTGGCCAGAGTGTAGACGGCAGCAGAGGAAAAAACATTAGGGTGTTGGGGAAGGGAGGGGGTGGGGAGGGATAGGGAAGGGGTAAGGAGAGACACGTAGGAAAGAGAGTGGAAGGCAGTGAAACACCTGCCGGAGGAGCCCCTTGTACTGCAGGACGGGGCTCCTGGGCTGCGATGCCAGCCAGAACAGGATAGTTGGAATGAAGGGTAGAGGAAAGGGATGTGGGGATGGAGGATGTGTGTGCACGGGGTGAGAGTGGAGGCCTGCGAGACAGGGAGGAGAAGAAGGCAGATATAGCGAGTGACATATCTGCATCAGAGGGAGCAGGCACAAGGGGTGATACGACCTGACCCCTGGCTGGGGGAATGAATGAGAGAGGCTGCTCCAGCTGGAGTGGTGGAGGCACCGTGACGTCACAGACGGTGACGCTGGCGGGAGTAAGCCCCGGAAGGGAACCCGGAAGTGTGGCCAGCTTGGGAGAAGGAGCTGTGGTCTCGGGGGCCCAGACAGCGGCTGAATAGAGCTGGAACAGCCTGGACTTATTGTCGCTGCGGTGGAAGGGGATGTTTTTTGCCCTCAGGAACCGCTGGAGCCGGGCGATGGTCCAATCTCTTATGTCGGGCTCTTGTTGTGGACGTGGAGATGGTGGAGATGGCTGAGTGGAGCACGACGGAGCGCTGCGGGAGCAGCGAGGTCGAGTAGTCGCTGCACCGCTGCGGGAAGGAGGAGGAGGAGAAGACCGCCGCTGGCTCCCACGGTTGTGGACGCGGCATCGATTTCCCACCCGCAAGGATGGAGGAGAGGAGGCCTGAGACCCACTAGGAGTCGGAGCGATCTCGTTGATGGAGCCCAACGGAGAACCACGGCGAGGCCAAGGGACCACAGAGCGCAGCCGGCTCCCCTGGGAGTGTCAGCTACCGGCAGACTGCTGAGACGGAGTCAGAGGATCACCTGGCTCAAACAGGGAGTCGTACAAGTCGTCGGAGTTGGACCCGGACAGGTTGACTTGCAGCACATGATCCATCTTTGGTGAGTATACGAAAAAACACACTTGCTGAGATATGTAGGGTCGCCAATGTTCAAGAGATCTGATAGGCCTGTGGTAGAGCTGTGCTGGTATATATACGTTAGTCAGGTGATTAGAGGAGAGGTTGAGGCGTGGTCCTGCTCCTGAACCTAAGTTAAACAATTAACTCCATGTAATACCAGCTCTAAAGCAATCTCAAGAGGAGACTGTGAAATTCCATTTAGACGCACTTCCTTTTCACAAACTGTTCTGTCAGTCAGGGGCAGTAAAACCTGGAATAGTCTGCCAGTCTCAATAAGGAAATGCTCTACCTTTTCTATTTTTAAAAGGCACTTAAAAGACTGGCTCAAGTCCAATCAGATCTGTAACCATTGTTAATTTAATTTAATGTATAAAGCGCCTCTGTGCTCATGTGCAGTGGTATGGGCACACTAGCACTTAAGTATGAATATTGCATCACTTTCAATCCATCTCAGCACAACTCCAACAAAAATTCTGTACAGGTCTTTGCATTGTTGCAACCTCATTTTCCATACACACCCCCGACAGACTCCTCCTCCCTAATTTAATGTAACTTTAATCTAACTCATTTTATTACACCAACAGCTATTAATGTTTATATGAGCACTGCAGCACTTTATAACCTTACTCATTCATATCAATTTTTTCTATACAGCATAACAAGAATCATGAACAGGACTTTGCATTGCTGCAGTCTCATCTTCCATCTACACATTACTTACAGTCCCCTACTCAAACTCCTTTTTGCACTGTATTTTATTGCACAGAATGTTTTGGTCTTGTCTTGTACTGTATATGCTTTTGACATTGTTGATGGATTGACCTGGGGTCATGTGCAATAGGGTTTATGTGCAATATTATGATATCCCTGGTCACCTCTGTTGTTATCATGGGCTACACTTGATGTATTTTCGAATGTATATTGTGCACCTCTTGTGTCTTCTGTATTGTGTCTACGTGGTTGCTATGAATTTTAACTCTGTCTTTTGTCACTGCTGCTCACTACATTTTTACATCAACTTGCCTGTAGGAATAACAGATGGAAATTAGCCGAAGGCTACAATCTGGCGTATTTACATATAATCATGTATTTGTTCATTAATATGCATGTCCCTATTTCTAAATTAAAAAAAAAAAAAATTCTTTGACTTTGAGAAACACCCTGTGTTCCTGTTTATTGAGTTTCCTCAGCAGCTACCTCACTTCCTTCCTGTCAACCTCCATTTCCTGAGCAGCCGCTTGGTTCATACTGGCCAGACACACACACACACACACACACACACACTGCTCTTTATAAATGACCACAGTGTTTCCTCGCGCGTGCGCGCGCACACACACACACACACACACACACACACACACACAATTAAGGTGTTCACAGGTACCAGCTCTGATCCAACAGACTTCTTAAAGCGAAAAACACTCACTGTGATATAACATATATAAATATACAGTATATTCCCTGTACAGTAAATATGGAGCTACAGATGGTTAGCTTAGCTTAGCATAAAGACCAGAAACTGGGGAAAAGGTTCTGCTCTGTTGGAATGTAACAAAATCCACCTCCACCTAGTTTTAAAGAAAAAAAACAAAAGGGAAGATATCTTTCATCTTACAAAATATTAGGTCCATCTTAAACAAAAAGAATTCACTTCTTGTGCAAACAAGATCATATCTCATGCACACAAGATAAAAAAATACTTTTCATGACTTTGCTCGCCCCGATAATACTTGTGACATCACTTCATGCTGTTGTTTCATTACACTGCGTTAGATTGCATAGATTTTAATAGAAATTATAATATTTGCTCAAGTTTTGTTCTGATACAAAGTTATTAAAAAACAGTTCGAAATGTTTAACACTTAATAAAGACAGAGGGAGCAGCAACACCCAGTGACATCGAAGCTCCACCTGACGACAGGAGGCAGCTTCATATTAAATATCTGACCCAGAACAGGGAGATAGGATCCAGGCGTTTTCAGTTTCACCTGGTCAGACTCCGGTCATACCTGCAGGGAGCAGAGATGACATCATCAAGTTCATTTCAGCATAAAAAGATTTTTTTTCTCTTAAAAATCAAAGTTAGAAATTAACCATATTAACGAACCTCTGAGCAGGTTGAATATATCTTGATAAAATGACAGTCTTTGACATTTTCTTCAATATGTTCCTTTCATCAGACTACAAACCAAACAAAACATTCCAATAATTCTTTTTAACAGCTGGATCTTTTCATCAAACTCCAGTTTTCTTAACCCATTTAATCCCATCAGTTACAATGATGATAGCAAAAAAAAAAAAAAGAAAAAAAAAGTTTTCAGTTATAAGGCTCTAAAAATGTTACCAAATGATGCATCAATGCATTTCCAGCGAATATTGAAACAATAAAGGGTCTATCTGAAATATGTGCAGTGTCACATGTTTAGTGTAAACTGTCACATGACCAGAGCTGTTTACTTCCTGGTTGTACCATGAGACCTGGATGGCTGCATCAAAGCTCCCAAACAAAAGGTTAATTGAAAGGTTTTTTGGGATGCATTGTCTTTAAGATATCTGGTACTGATATGTGCATTTGTAATTACTCAACTTTGTTCAGTGGGGTCACAGAATTAGTGAACATGTTGACGGCAACAGTAGTGACTGGTGGGATAAGACGGTGCATCTAAATGTACATGTTCTTATACACGTACATAATTCTTATTCTACCTAACCTCCTACTCTTCTTTTCTTTTTTTAGGTTCACTCTGAGCGAAGTTTTGGATATGTGGGATCTTGGTGATGGCCCAGACCATGTGTACAACCTAACAGTTGTCCCTCAAAATAAAAAAAATGCGGCCTCAGTGATTGTGACAGCGATGGGTCAGATATAGACTATGAGGGGGAGACAGGTTATTTGCCAGTCAGGCTTTTAAATTCATATGTTGAAACAGATCACGACAGGAACAACTTTATCAGTGATTATAACCCATGACCTCCCCCTCCAGCTGGTTCTAAATCTGACCATCAAAGTGGTCCCGGGGGAGGGACCAGACTAAGAGCGATTCAAAGACCTCGATGAAACCTCGCCCGGTACGGGGACACCGGGGCCTCCTCCTGGAGCCAGACCCGGGAGGAGAGCTCACCAGCAAGCATCTGGTGGCCGGACCTTAGGTCATGGGGCCCATTCGGGCTCAGCCCGAAGAGACAACATGGAGCCGTCACCCACCACCCGCAGGGACAGCAATCGGGGTCGGGTGCATTGTGTACCGGGCGGCAGGCAGGGGCGGGGCCCCTGGCGTGCCAATCCCTGGCGTCGCAGACTGGCTTTTGGAGCGTGGAATGTCACCTCTCTGGTGGGGAAGGAGCCAGAGCTCGTGCGGGAGGTGGAGTGGTACCGACTAGATATAGTTGGGCTCACCTTCATGCACAGCACTGGTTCTGGAACCAAACTCCTGGAGAGGGGCTGGACTCTCGCTTTTTCCAGAATTGCTCAGGGTGAGAGGTGCCGGGTGGGTGTGGGTATACTCACAAGCCCCTGGCTAAGTGCCGCCGTGTTGGGGTTCTCCCCGGAGAACGAGAAGGTCATCTCGATGCGACCGCGGGTTGCAAAGAGAGGGTCTCTGACTGTTGTTTGTGCTTATGCACCGAATGGCAGTGTGGAGTACCCGGCCTTCTTGGAGTCTCTTGGGGGCGTCCTGCCAGGGGTGCCGGCTGGGGACTCCATAGTTTTCCTGAGGGACTTCAACGCTCACGTGGGCAATGACGGAAAAACCTGGAGGGGGGTGATTGGGAGGAACGGCCTGCCTGTTCTGAACCCGAGTGGTGCTTTGTTACTGGACTTCTGTGCGAGTCATGGACTGGCCATAACGAACACCATGTTTGAGCCCAGGGAGGTTCATAAGTGTACCTGGTACCAGAACACCCTAGGCCAAAGATCAATGATCGATCTTGTGGTCGTATCAGCAGATCTGCGGCCGTGTGTCTTGGACATTCAGGTGAAGAGAGGAGCAGAGCTGTCAACTGATCACCACCTGGTGGTGAGTTGGATCAGATGGCGGGGAAGGCTGCCGGACAGATCTGGTAAACCCAAATGTGTAGTGAGGGTGAATTGGGAACGTCTGGCTGAGGACCCTGTCCGTGGGGTCTTCAACTCCCACCTCCGGGAGAATTTCTCATGCATCCCGGAGGAGGTTGGGGACATGGAGTCTGAGTGGGCCATGCTCAAAGTCTCTATTGTGGAGGCGGCTGCTAGGAGCTGTGGTCAGAAGGTTGTCGGTGCTTGTCGGGGCGGCAACCGAAGAACCATCAGGCTGAAGAAGGAGGCCTTTTGGGTCTGGCTGGACCAGGGGTCTCCTGAAGCAGCAGACAGGTACCGGTTGGCCAGAAGGGCTGCAGCTGTGGCGGTCGCTGAAGCAAAAACCCAGGTGTGGGAGGAGTTCGGGGAGGCTATGGAGAAGGACTTTCAGTTGGCCTCAAGGAAGTTCTGGCAGAGTGTTAACCGACTCAGGAAGGGAAAGCAGGGCTTGTCTCAGGCTGTGCTCAGCAGAGAGGGAGAACTGCTGACCCGAACTGGGGACATCGTCAGGCGGTGGAAGGAGCACTTTGAGGACCTCCTGAACCCGGCCATCACGTCCACTGTAAACGAGGCAGAGCCTGAAGACTCAGGGAACTCTCGCCCATATCCCTGGCAGAAGTTGCTGAGGTAGTTAAAAAGCTCCCCAGTAGATGAGATTCGCCCTGAGATGCTGAAGGCTCTGGGCACTGTTGGGCTGTCTTGGCTGACACGCCTTTTCAGTGCCCCGTGGAGGTCGGGTACAGTGCCTGCAGAGTGGCAGACCGGGGTGGTGGTCCCCATCTTCAAAAAAGGGGACCGGAAGGTGTGCTCCAACTATCGGGGTATCACACTGCTCAGCCTCCCGGGTAAAGTTTACTCCAGGGTGCTGGAAAGGAGGCTCCGACCGATTGTTGAATCTCAGATTCAGGAGGAGCAATGCGGATTCCGTCCTGGCCGTGGAACAGTGGACAAGCTCTTCTTTACAACCGCGTCCCTCGGGGGGTCTTGTGGGGGGTACTACGGGAGTACGGGGTACCAGGCTCGCTACTACGAGCCATCCAATCCCTGTATGACCAAAGTGAGAGCTGTGTCCACGTACTTGGTGTACAGTCGAATACGTTCCCGGTGGGTGTTGGCCTCCGCCAAGGTTGTCCCTTGTCACCAATCCTGTTTGTGACCTCATGGACAGGATTTCGAGGTGCAGCCAGGGGGAGGAAGGGGTCCGGTTTGGGGACCTCAGACTTGCATCTCTGCTTTTCGCAGATGATGTGGTTCTGTTGGTTCCATCACATCGTGACCTCCAGCATGCACTGGGGCGTTTTGCAGCCAAGTGTGAAGCAGTTGGGATGAGAGTCAGCACCTCCAAGTCTGAGGCCATGGTTCTCTGTCGGAAACCGATGGATTGCCCTCTCCGGGTTGGGGGAGAGTTACTGCCTCAAGTGAAGGAGTTCAAGTATCTTGGGGTCTTGTTCACGAGTGAGGGTAGAATGAAGTGTGAGATGGACCGGTGCGGCTTCTGCAGTGATGCGGGCGCTGCGCCAGTCCATCGTGGTGAAGAGGGAGCTGAGTCGGAAAGTAAAGCTTTCGGTTTACTGGTCCATCTACGTCCCAACCCTCACCTATGGTCATGAACTCTCGGTAGTGACCGAAAGAATGAGATCGCAGATACAAGCAGTGGAAATGAGTTTCCTCCGTGGGGTGGCTGGGCTCAGCCTTAGAGATAGGGTAAGGAGCTCAGACATCCGGAGGGAGCTCGGAGTAGAGCCGCTGCTCCTTTGCATCGAAAGGGGTCAGTTGAGGTGGTTCGGACATATGACTAGGGTGCCTCCTGGGCGCCTCCCGCTCAAGGTGTCCCGGGCACGTCCCACTGGTAGGAGGCCCCAGGGCAGACCCAGAACACGCTGGAGGGATTACATATCTTGTCTAGCCTGGGAACGCCTTGGGGTCCCCCAGAAAGAGCTGGAAAGCGTTGCCGGGAAGAGGGATGTCTGGGATGCTTTGCTCAGCCTGCTGACCCCGCGACCTGGTACCGGATAAGTGGTTGAAAATGGATAGATGGATGGATGTTGGGGATGGCCAGTGACAGAGTTGTAAATGTGTCAATAACTGAGCTGGGATATATCAGAATTTTGATGACTGCATAGGAGATTATGATAATTCAGTCAATAAATGGTAGATACAACACATCGTCCCACCAGTCACAATTGTGACCGACCAAAAAACACTTTTTCACCTAGTGTTCCATGAAAATTAAAAAAAAAAAAAAAATTGATTATTTCAAAGGGTTATCAGTAACAGATTTGGATAGTTTTATGTCTGGGAAAATTTCTGAATTAAACAGGATAATATTCCTCAAGGAAACAAATCTCTGATGATTCAACTTTACCATTTCATAAACATCCATTTCTCATTTTAGTGTAAAGAAATTCAAAGAAACAATAGTGAGTCAGTTTCTTATTATTGATTTGTGTGTTACATGTGTTTTAAATTCTTCCTCTTCTGTTTTATACTTGGATCACCTTGTTTTCTCTCCCTTTGTTGTGACTGTTTGGGTGATGAACTGTACTTTTAGATCTATACACTTACTGTGTGACACAATCTGGGATCTGCACGTGCTCAGTGGGGATAAAGTGAGAGAGATCCTGGAGGCTGTTGACAAACTGGAGCTTCCTGCTGAACTTAGAGCTGAGGAGGAGGAGGGAAAGGGGGGGGGGATTTTGATAACCACGGGAAAAGAAGAAGTGAGAACGTTAGTTTGGTTTGATTTGTCACCCAGTGGTCAGAGTAAATGTCTGTATCGTAAGTTTCTGCAAAAGCTACAAAACCACCTGGTCATGTTTAGGAAAAGATCATGTTTTGGCTTAAATTCCCAGTTTGGGGTCACAATCACGGGCAGCTGTGGCTCAGGAGTCAAAGTAGGTCGTCCACCAATCAGAAGATCGGCGGTTCGATCCCCGGCTCCTCCTGTCAGCATGTCAAAGTATGCTTGGGGCAGGATACTGAACCCCAAATTGCTCCTGATGGCTGTTCCATTAGTGTATGACTGCGTGTAAATGGTTACTGTTAACCCGTATGGTAGTCTCGGTCAGCAGTGTGTGACTGTGTGTGTGTGAACGGATGAATGTGACATGTAGTGTGTAAGCGCTTTGAGGGGTCAAGAGAAAGGAAGAGTGCTATACGAGTGGAGTCTGGCTGGAAACATAGTGATCTTTCACTACAAAATAACTGGTTTTGTCATTTGTTGATGTTGAACAGTGGTCTGCAGCTTTGCAGGCGTCTCTCTTAGGTGTGACACCATACGCCATCCCCTCCACCTCCTGATGACGAAGTCAGCTCATATACTACATCAGTTTAGAAATACTGATATGATACACAGGAACGTACAAATGTAACAGACAATGCCAACATTTTATTCTAGCAACTGGGCTGCTGACAGAGACTGACTGAGGAGGAGGAGGAGGACGACAACGACGAAGAGGAGGAAGAGGAGATGGAAGAGGGGTCAGCAGACCTGATGAAGGGTTTGATGATGGTGATGAGGGCTTTGATGTACCAGGTGGGATGAACCACGTAGAAACCCTTCAGATTCTTCCTCAACCTGCACACACAGACACACAAGTGCGCGCGCACACACACACACACACACATACAGTACCTGATTTATTACTGCAAACTGAGTACTTTACTTTATACTTCCACTACATTTATTCAATGCTTACTTTTTACATTAGACAAAAACACATAATTGACTCCATTTACTTCCAACAAACTTCAGCATTAAAATTCTCTTTACATTAAGTCATTAGTGATAAAAAAACATATCAATACTCCATAATGATATCACACAGACACATTCTGCACAATGAGTACTTTTATTTTGGTATTTTAATTAGCTGATGATACATCTGTACTTTTACTTAAGTGGCATTTTGAATGAAGTGCTTCCTCCTCTGCTGCCCTGTGTAGTTCTCTCAGTCCTAAAAAACTCTTTATTTTGCTTCAACACGTCAACACAGCCTGGCATCAGATATCACTGTGCTCACTTTATGTAGATGATAAACTGAGGCTCTTTTACATCTTCATTAAATTCAATAAATTAGAAAAATGTGATGACACACATTTGTTCATATTTCTGTATTTTGTAACACTGTGAGACCAAATGTTTGAATCATGTTTTACGGTCAGAACTGAGGAGGGGGGGGGAAAATCAGTGAAGATCTAACTCCCCCTACTGGACAGAGACTGAAACAACACCTGACAGGGGAGAGAGAGAGAGAAAGAAAGAAAGAAAGAAAGAAAGAAAGAAAAGATAGAAGGAAGGAAAGAAGGAAAGGAAGGAGGGAAGAAAAGAAAGGAAGAAAGAAAGACAGAAAGAAAGGATGGAAGGAAGGATGGAAGGAAAAAAATTTTAATTTTAATTTTATATACTTTATTAATCCCCGAGGGAAATTCAGTTTTTTACTCTGTTGTCAATTACACACAGGTCCGAACACACACATGCACAAACTGGACCTATACATGCACTAAGTGGAGAGATGTCAGAGTGGGCAGCCCATGACAGGCGCTCCGAGCGGTTGGGGGGTTCGGTGCATTGCTCAGGGGCACCTCGGCAGTGCCCAGAAGGTGAACTGGCACCTCTCCAGCCACCAGTCCACGCTCCATATTTTGGTCCGGACGGGGACTTGAGCAGGCGACCCTCCGGTTCCCAACCCAAGTCCCTATGGACTGAGCTACTGCCGCCCCAAAACAAGAAAAAAAAGGAAAAAAGGAAGGATGGAAAGAAAGAAAGAAAGAAAGAAAGAAAGAAAGGAAGGAAGGAAGGAAGGAAGGATGGAAGGAGGGAAGAAGGGAAGAAAATAAAGGAAGAAAGAAAGGATGGAAGAAAGGATAGAAAAAAGGAAGGATGGAATGAAAGAAAGGAATGAAAGAATGAAAGAAAAGATGGATGGAAGGGAAGAAAGACAAAGAAAGAAAAGAAGGAAGATTTGATTTTCTTACTCCTGCTTACACAGCCATTTTATGGGAACTACAAAATAGACTTTAAAAAAACTACAGTAGCAAAAAATACAGAAAAACACCAGAACACCAGCAAAACCACATCAGGACTGTATCAGAAGTTGACAACCAAGGAGTTCTCCCGCACAGAACAAAACACCTCCTGCATCCCCCAAATGTTGATAAAAGCATCCATCAGGCCGTAAAAACAAAAAATCCACCCTGAACCGAGCTGCCAGCATCCCCTTTAACATCCTGACTACATCCTGTGACCCCTGACCCCTCACACAGTTGTTCTTTGTTTCCAGCTAGCTTGGCCAATCCTGAAAGGTAATTAATGAATAAGATAAGATAAGATACACCTTTATTGATCCCATAATTGAAAAATTCCAGTGTTACAGCAGTCAATGAGAAAAAAGTCAGATTAAAGATTTCAAATTTAAACTTAAAAAACTTAAATAACTAGGCATGCAAATAAGTACAAAAATACAAGAGACGGCGATAAATAACAATAATAATAATAATAATAATAATAATAATAATAGGAAGTGGATAATAATGAGCAGCAGTGAATGAAAATGACCAGTGGATAAAGGGAGCACATCTAGTGCAAGTGATTGTATGTGCAAAACAGCAGACAGCTGTGGTGTCCATAAAGTGTCCATAGTGTCAATAAAGTGTCCATGGTCCAGTCTACTGTGAGCAGTGCTGGTTATGTAGCCTGACAGCAGCAGGCAGGAAGGACCTGCGATAGCGTTCCTTCACACACTTTGGGTGAATCAGTCTATCGCTGAAGGAGCTCTCCAGAGCTTTTATCTCCTCCTGCAGAGGATGGGAGTCATTAGTCCTCAGAGATGACAGCTTGGCTGTCATCCTCCTTTCTCCCACCACCTGCACAGAGTCCAGAGAGCATCCCAGGACAGAGCTGGCCTTCTTGATCAGCTTGTCCAGTCTCTTCCTATCTGCAGCCGAGACGCTGCTGCCCCAGCAGACTACTCCGTAAAAGATGGCTGATGCCACCACAGTGTCAAAGAAGGTCTTCAGGAGCGCCCCCTGCACTCCAAAAGACCTGAGCCGCCTCAGCAGGTAGAGTCTGCTTTGGCCTTTCCTGTACAGTGCTGTTATGTGATTAGTCCAGTCCAGTTTATTGTTAAGATGAACACCCAGGTACTTATAAGATGTCACCATCTCAATGTCCTTTCCCTGGATGTTCACCGGTGTTGGGGGGAGGAGTCTGCGCCTGCGGAAATCCACCATCAGCTCTTTGGTTTTCCCCGCGTTGATCTGAAGGTGGTTCCTCAGGCACCAGTCCACAAAGTCCTGGTTCAGTTCTCTGTACTCCCTGTCGTCCCCATCTGTGATGAGGCCGACTATGGCAGAGTCGTCAGAGAACTTCTGCAGATGACAGGTGGGGGTGTGGTATGAAAAGTCTGCAGTGTAGAGGGTGAAGAGGAACGGTGCCAGCACTGTCCCCTGCGGGGCCCCCGTACTGCAGACAACCAAGTCCGATACACAATCCTGGGTCCTGACATACTGCGGCCGGTCCGTGAGGTAGTCCAGGATCCAGGATGTGAGGTGATTAGCCACCCCTATGTGCTCCAGTTTGTCCCTCAGAAGTGCAGGCTGTATGGTGTTGAAAGCGCTGGAGAAATCAAAGAACATGATTCTCACAGAGCTTCCAGGCTTCTCCAGGTGAGAAAGAGCTCTATGCAGGAGGAAGATGACGGCGTCGTCCACCCCAATGCCAGGCTGGTAGGCAAACTGCAGCGGGTCCATTGAAGGGCCTACTGCGGGGCGGAGACGAGACAGGACCAGGCGCTCCAGAGTCTTCATGAGGTGTGATGTTAATGCCACTGGTCTGAAGCTGCTGAAGTCCTTGGGGTGCGGAGTCTTGGGCACAGGTACCACGCAGGATGTCTTCCACAGCTGTGGTACTCTTCCCAGCCTCAGGCTCAGGTTGAAGATGGTTTCAACTAACCCGCACAGTTGGTCTGCGCAGGACTTCAGGAGCCTGGAGCTGATGCCGTCTGGACCCGCAGCCTTCCTCGTCTTTATCTTCCTCAGCTGATCTCTCACCTGACAGGTAGTGAAGGACAAGCTGGAGCAGGGGGCCTGTGTGCTGGGGGGTGGAGGTGATGAGGTGAGGTGAGGGGTGGGGGAGGTGTCGAAGCAGTGTGCCAGGAGTGTAGGTGGGGGGGAAGGTGAAGGTAAGGATGAGGGGGGTTGCAGCCGTGATGTCTGGGCCAGGGGAGGGGCAGACTGATCAAATCTATTGAAGAACAGATTCAGATCATTCCCCCACTTCTGGTCGCCTCTGGCCTGGGAGTCTGGTTGTTTGTGTCCTTAGATGGTTTTCAGACCTCTCCAGACTCCGCTGACGTTGCTCTGCTGCAGCTGTGCCTCCATCTTCTTTTTATATCCTTCCTTTCCCCGCCTGATGTTTCTCCGTAGCTCCTTCTGCACGGCCTTCAGCTCCTCCTTATTCCCAGAGTTAAAAGCTCTCTGCTTCTCCTACAGGAGAGCTTTTAACTCTTGAGTAATCCAGGGTTTGGTGTTGGAGAAGCAGCGTACAGTCCTGGTGTGTACGGTGCTTTCCACACAGAAGTTTATGTAGTCCGTAATGCATGATGTCATACTGTCAATGTCCTCCCCATGGGAATCACTGAGTACCTCCCACACAGTGGCCTCGAAGCAGTCTTTCAGGGCCTCCTCAGAGGCTTGTAGAGGTTTGTAGACAGGCAGAAAATGAACCAGGTTGTGATCAGCTGGGGGGCAGGGGGGTTGAGTGGTATGCCTCCTTGGTGTTGGCATAAAATAAATCCAGTGTTTTATTGTCTCTGGTGTGGCAGGAAACATACTGGGTGAAGGTGGGCAGGGTGGTGGATGGACAGGCGTGGTTGAAGTCCCCAGAGATCAGAAGGAGGGCCTGAGGGTGCTATGTCTGCAGCCTACTTATAACAGAGTGGAGAATGTAACAAGCAGACTCAGCCTTTGCAGATGGGGGGACATACACTGCTACCACAATGACATGAGAAGACTCCCTGGGTAGATAATACAGTCTCATGCCAACAGCCAGCAGCTCAATGTCCCTGCAGCAATGGTGTTCCTTGATAGTGATGTGCCCAGAGTTACACCATCTATCATTCACAAACACAGCCAGCCCCCCTCCTTTCCTCTTACAGCTGTCTGCTGTCCTGTTGTGTCTGATGAGCTGGAATCTGTCCAGCGCGGCGATCGTGTCCGGTACTTCCATGTTCAGCCATGTCTCGGTAAACACCAGCACGCTGCTCTGCTGGTACTCCCTCTGATGGTGAGTCAGCGCCGACAGCTCGTCCATCTCTTTGGGGAGCGATCTTACGTTCGATGGACGGGAGGACAGGTTTGTACCGTCTCCTCCGTTGTCGGCGCTGCACTCCGGCACGACATCCCCATCTCCTTCTCCGCAGCTAGCCGGGAATGTCATGCCTCTCCTCGGGCCACACCGCAGTGTGACGCAGCGCTCCCAGCTGGTCCTGGGTGTAAACAATGGAGGCACGGCTGGGCGCCGGATCGCTGCACACGATCATATCCATATCAAAATGGGAGAAAGACCGCTATAAAGACGGCGATCTTCGTCTCCATAACAAAACACAACATAAGTGCTAGCTAGCTAACTGAAAAAAACTCCAAATAAGAAAGTTAAATAAAAAAGAAATTGAAAAAAGCTCAGCGGTGAGCAGGAGCCGCTGTAACAGGTGTCCGCACTGGGGGCACCATCTTGACGCATCAATATATGTGTGGCTCTTTTCTTTGCTGCATGCTGCAGACCGTAACTGGAAAGTGGAAATGACAAATGTTCCCCTAAACCCTGAAACCAGTCCTGTAGCTGTCTAAACAGACAGAAAGGACAACTGTTCCCTGTACCAGGATCAAGATGCACCAGATATCTGTCGGTGGCTATGGCACTCCTCTCTCAGTCTGGATCTCAGGCTAACAGATGACAGGACCTGAGAGGAGATGTAACTGGTTCCAAAGAGGGGCTCCTCAAAGAGCCACAGCCTTTCGGTGGAATGAGAAGACCTGCCATGCCTGTAAAACAGACTGGTGAAAAGGTGTCAGACCAGTCAAGTCTATGGACTGGTTCTGGAACAGGAAGAGGTGTTTGTCCAGTCCTATGCATTCAGCTCTCCTCAGCAGCAGACAGGCAGTGTCCATCCAAGGCAGGCCGAGGCTGTACAACAGTTTTTGAGGAGTCTGCAGTCTGAAGGCTGCAATATGAGATGTAATGTCCACAAGGCCCTGTCCTCCCTCCTGCACCGTCAGGTATAGCACCAACAAACGCAACCAGTGCTGCCCTGACCAGAAAAAGTCCAAAACCGCCCTCTGAACCTCTTCGATCAGGCCTCTTGGTGGAGGCAGGACTATAAGTCTGTGCCAAAGGGTCAAGGTAACCAAGTTCAAGACCCAGCCCCTGAAGGAAAGCTGCGGCAGCAGGCATTTCCATTTAGACAGCGTGGCACACACTCTCTCTACAGCACCCTCCCAGTTCTGCCTCTGAAACTCCTCAGTTACCAGAAAAATCCCCAATACCTTCATGCCCTGCCAAACCCAGCTGAGATTTCCTGGTACTTGAGGAATCCCCCTATCTGTCCACTACCCAACCAGCAAACCCTCACTCTTCCCCCAGATTACCTTTGCTGAAGATGCCCTCTCATATAACTCTAAACTGCCAACCAGGAGAGCCACATTCCTCTGGTCTCCCACAGAAACATTAATGTCATCCACATAGGGAGATTACAACCAATGAGGGGCGCTGTAGCAAACCTGGTAGCATAACACCTGACAGCCTAAATCTCAACCTGCTTAACAGTGGTTCAATGGCTAAAGAGTACAGCAATCCAGAGACAGGACACCTATGCCTAATGCCTGTCTGAAAAGCTTTTTCTCAGTCTAATGAAATGACCCCAACATCAATATTGTACAGTTTGCAGACATCAAATAAGTCCCTCGTGAGGAGGAGATTGACCATGATGGATCTGTCCAGTACACAATATGACTGGACCCTGTGAATTAATAAAGTTGTTCAGCTTGTTTGAAAGCACTTTGGAGAGGAGTTTATAGTCCACACACAGCAAAGGCAATGGTCTCCAGTTCTTAAGAAGGGCCAAATCTCCCTTTTTTTTGCAGAGGTGAGAGGACTGCATGGCGACAGGAGGCAGGCCCCCCTTCTTTTCCCTCCAAAGTCCCCAGAATGTCTCAAACTTCTGACAGAAATTGTTGTCCTGAAGCAGCCTGATGTTAAAATGCCAGTATGAGCTGCTTTTACTGGTCGGTGAGACATGGACATCTAAGGTGAGTAAGTGATGGTCAGTGAAACGCACAGGGTAAATGTAGCTGTTAGAAAGTCTGTTAGTGAAACTCTGTGATATATAAACCCTATCCAACCTGGCTGCACTCATCCTACCGTCTGACACCTTAATCCATGTAAACTGCCTGTCCTGGGGATGTTTGACCCTCCACACATCTACTACAGCTGATTCTGAGATGACCTGTGATAAGGAAGTGGATGAATGTAAATGAGGTTCCTGTCCTGTCTAATGTGAAGTTGAGTCCCCACCCATCACTACGCACTCACCCTGATCACACTGTTTTAGGGAAGAAAGAAAGAAAGAAAGAAAGAAAGAAAGAAAGAAAGAAAGAAAGTGGGCTGTACCTCCTGTTGATGGTGGTGTAACACTCCCTCAGCCAGCTGATTCCTGGCAGTTTGTCTTTCTGCCCTCCGGCACAAAGATACACAATCACATAGTTTTCTGCAACCATCAGATCCAGAGTTCCCACCACATACCTGCAGACAGACAGACTGACATGTGAGTTCTGGTTCATAGTTCCCCTCAGGATGAACCCGTATCACTTTGATGATCCTCTGAATTTTTCATTCACGCCAAGAAAACCACAGATATGTTACATTTGTACATTTCATACATGTATCAGTGTTTCTGAAGTGACAAAGTGTATGAGCTGACTTTTTGGAGGGAATGGTGGATGGTGTGACACCGAGGAGAGACACCTGCTCAGCTGCACACCAACAAAACTAGCTGTTTTTTTCATCAAAGCATCACTGTTTATCCAGCTGGAATAGTGCCCCCCAAATTGCCTTTGGTGGGCGGGGCTTAGCTGGAGGCAAAACAGTTCTCTACAGATATTAGCTAGCGTTAGCCAGCAAGTTCTGTTGGCTTGTTTTAGACAATGGAGGAAGATGATATGAGTCTCTCTGAATAGGGTGCGTTCGGAAATATGTATTCTGAGTGTCGGAGTGCACGCTGACACAAACTGGACAGTTTGCAAATTCAGAGCGCTGTCTGAATGTACCGTTTATTTATCCAGAGCACTGCATTCTCAGAGCAGCAGAGCACACTCTGGGCTCTCTGTCTGGTAAGAAGGAGCAGCAGAGTGAATGTGTGATTAACTTAAATGTTCATTAATTTATGTAGAAATATAACGCTCCATTTCTTCGACCAACAGAGCTCTCATTTTAGTGTAGTGTCAGACTGAATTTACCAATGCACCATGTCACTCACTCTCCGGGACCGTGAGTGTTACTTGAATAAGTAAACACTGACCAACAGGACCAGACTGGCCGACCCATATGCTCTCACTCAGTGGATAAATGATGTCACAGGACTATGCCAATGGTTTCTACAAGATTGTTTTGCTATCGAAGCTAACGTTGGCTAATGCGCTAAAAAGTTAGCATTACAGAGAAATCCAATATTCCTCTCAGCAGCCCCCAATTTCTGATGAGGTGGACATAATAACCCTTAATACACACTAGCTATGTTTACATGTGCAAAATTTCTTAATCAGATTAAAAACTTGAGGGATTGGAAATTCAGAATCCATTGTTTATATGGACGCTAAATCAAATAATCTGATCATGACATGCGTATACATGCACCAAGCTTTATTCAGAATAGCAGCATTTTGACATGCGCAGAGTTGTCTAATTTCCCTAAAATAACCATAGAAGAAGTTGTACTTCCGTCTGTGCTGTAAACAAACGCTGATGCTGCTCCACTTAACTCTTTCGCGCTTTTCCCTTTTTCCCTTTTCCCTGTTCTCTTTATACATCCATGGCTTTTCCCTGCACTTAAAACTCAGCACTCAGAATGGACCTGCGCCAGGTTCTTAAAGCTGTACTTTTGTTTCTATTGTTCTCCGTGATCAAGCTAGGGCTCAGCAATGCATACTGCTCCTGCGTTACAGAAGGAGAGAGCGGGAGGAAATGAACATCCCTCCAAGTTTTGTGCTGCCTCCAAGTTTAGTGCTGCTGCCCCCTCCTCCACCAAAGACCAGAAGGCAGTGGATGAAGGTTAGACGTAAAGACTGGTGGGAGCGGGTGGTACTCACGGAGTTCATCAATCAGGAGTGGAAGCAAAACTTACGCATGACACGACTGTCTTTCATGAAGTTATGCACTTTGATGGAGAGATATATAGCCCCAGACGAGGTGACTAGTAGCTAGTAAATATTGTATTTTCAGCTTGTGAAGTGGAGATACTTTCTTGCAATGTGTATATTAACTATATTTCAATAAATCTCTGTGCTTGTGTAAACCCTTATTTGTCTTGTTTCATTTGAGCTTAAGTATGAAGTGAAAAAAATATGGAATCACAATAGTGTAGATGTGGCGGCACGGAGTTCTCTAGTGCATAGTGCATGTTCTGCCCGTGTCAGCGTGGGTTTTCTCCGGGCACTCCGGCTTCCTCCCACAGTCCAAAGACATGCAGATTGGGGACTAGGTTAATTGATAACTCTAAATTGTCTGTAGGTGTGAATGTGAGCGTGAATGGTTGTTTGTCTCTATGTGTCAGCGATAGTCTGGCGACCTGTCCAGGGTGTACCCTGCCTCTCGCCCGATGTCAGCTGGGATAGGCTCCAGCCCCCCCGTGACCCTCAAGAGGATGAAGCGGTTAGAAGATGAATGAATGAATGAATGAATAGTGTAAATGCCTTTATACAAATAAAAAGTTGAACTCTAAATAATTACATGTCCTCTTTTTTATAGTGTGTGAGGAACACTGAAGGAAAGGATATCAATCTCCTAATCGTTGGTGACCCAGCCTATCCCCTTCTTGACTGGCTCATTAAAGGATACCCCAACTCTCCCCGTCTGACTCCTCAACAGGAGTCCTTTAATGTTTACCTCAGCTCAGTCAGGGTGGGGGTAGAGATGACCTTCTGGTTGCTAAAGTCGAGGTGGAGAGTTCTTCTAAAAAGAAGTGACTTTCATTTCAGTTTTGCACCAACCATGATTGCCACCTGTTGCGCACTCCACAACTTCTGCCAGAGGGAGAGGGATTATGGCAATAGCAGCTGGTTGGAAGAGGCTTGTGACTGTGCAAACAACTGCCCTCAGCCTAACCAGCCAGTGAATCTTCAGTGCAGTACTGGTGGAAACCGTGCAAAAGAGGCGTTGACAGCATATATGGCCACCCAGTTCCCACCCTGTACAGGGCAACGACTAGTAAAAACAAGTGTTTTCTGTTTAGAGTATTCATAAGAGAAACTCAAATTACTGACCAAACACTAATGGCACATTGCAATAAATGAGAATATTGTGAAAGAGTTCAATATTTTTTGGTCAGTTATTTCAGGCAGTGAAAAATAAATATGTAAATATTTTCAGACACCTTGGAAATATTAACATAATTTTATTTTTTACTTTCTAAAATATCTTACAAAAAACATTGAACTTTTTCCACGATATTCTAATTTTTTTAGATGCACCTGTAGTGTTGAGTGCACAATGTGGAGCTAATTAACACTAATTCTATACCATTAAAACTTACAGCACCTTTAATAAGTGATCAACTAAAGCTATTCTATTGTTGATTTTAAATTTTGATGCATTTGTATCAGAGCAGTCCTGATTGTCCTAATTTTACAGGGTAGTAGATTACTAGTCCATACCCATTGAGTGCACAGTTGCCCACGTACAGTTTCACATGGTGTGTATTTGGGATACAGGTCATAAGAAATTGCAGATTAAATAGTCAACTGAACCCATTAAGAAGAGCAATGTATTCAGACAGAGTTTTTGTGAATTTGATAGTATGATTGCTTTATTGAAAGTACAGTGGTACCATTGCCAATAGTGGGATAGTTAGTGGGCTAAAACTGTACATTAGTAGTTGAGGTAGCACGTTGAAAGGCAGATAGTTAAAATGTTTATATGTTGTATTGACTTAAAAGTGGGCCGCACTGGTAGAATGACTGACTGACTGACAGAATAACACACTGACAGTTTCCGCGATTATGTACAGCATACCACACTTAGTCATACCAAAAATTAGAAAAAAAAACAAACCATTCGGCCACATGGGGAGCCACAGCGATCGGTTGCATTTTAGGCATTTTTAAGCATTTTTCTGTTGTTATAGCGCCACCCAGTTGCCAATTAGAGTTAAATTTCTCCAGTCACCTTGAGGCATCCTGTTCTACATATCTACCAAGTTTAGTAAAAATCGACATGGCGGTTAGGCCTAGATGAGAAATTAGCTCTCTAGCGCCCCCATTTTGTTTGATAGGGTCAATAATGGAGGGGTCCCCTCAGATTATGTGTGGTCATATGCCTACAAAGTTGCGTGTTGATCGGTGAAACCCTTGAGATGTTATACACCTTTATGTGATGAGCCACGCCCTCCGCAATATTCATTGCCTTATAGAAGCTCAGTTTTAGAAAGAGGTAACTTTAGATACTGGTCCCTAGATTATGTTCACCGAGTTTCATGCAGATCGGTCAAACTTCCTAGGAAGAGATCGATTTAAATGTTTTTCAAAAAATTCAAAATGGCGGAAAATCTATATAACCGCAAGTTATGGGTTCTTAGGCCCTTCTTTGGCCAATTGATGTAATATTGCTTCGTTCGCATCCTCCCATGACCCTCTACCACTGTGCCAAATTTCACATGGATTGACCAAGTCAGTGAGGAGAAAAACGTGGAACAGACACACCCACACACAGACAGAGTTTTCATCATAATATAGTAAGATTTCGTCTGTCAGGTTTGTCACATGTTTATGAAGCACTGAGAAGATACTTGTAATATAATTTTGAGTTTGTTCTCAAAGCCCTTTTATATGCAGTTAAGCATAGTATTTATTGGATTAACAGAATATCACATTTTAAAAACTGCAAAAATACAAGAGTACTTTAGAGCTCTTTAATGGACCAAACACCTCCATACATTCTTGTAAAATAAAGTGTCCCTTGTTGGCACTCTTAAGTGCTAGTGCAGTGCAAAAAAAAAAAAATTTTCTGAGGTACATAAGAAAAACTGCAAACTTAACATTTGTGCAGTTAGTGCAAAACAGAACATGTGTCCGCAGAGCTTCACTATTTTGTAATGCACATAGAAAAAGAGAACAGTCTGTAGACTTTGTGTAAATACACCGACTTTCACACAACAGTGGAGGTAGATTGCAACTGTATAATATGTTCTATTGCTGCTCAGTCAGCTGTGGCAGCTTGATAATTCTTTTATTAACCTGTAATAGAAAATAATTTTTTCATACATTCACCTCCAGCCTAGTTTCTGACAGTTCTTCTCCTTAACGTAACTGCTCTGTTTTAACCCTGTCTACTCCAAGTATCCCTTTAAGCAAACAAAAACATCAGTTCTCTCTCCTACTATTCTCCTCCTCTAAACCAATATCCACACTGCTGCCAGACATGTTCGACAACGGCTGATCTCCCATCAGTTCATCCATCAGAACGTAGAATTGAAAACTGGTGGGGTCGGAACCACTTTTCCCGTTCTGGCTTTTAGCTTTGTAATAGCTAGCTTTCAAGCTTTTCCAGCGATTTTTAATTTGGTCGATGGTTTGGTGGATTTCGACTTCCTCCAGCTTTTCATGAACTTGTTTATATAACTCGGTGTTTCTAGCCTTTCGACCGTGAAGTCGTTCAACAATTCTCAGCTCTCTTAAAGTTTCGAGCAAGAAAGTTGTATTGGGAACAGACCAGTTCACGGCTTGCCACAAAACAATGCAAAGGCGGAAATGCGCAGTGAGGTTAATTTTACCCCAAACAGAAGCCACGATCTGAACAAGTGTGTACATGGACGCTGTTCAGAATAAGGTTCGGCATAAACCACTCCTCTCGATCAGAACACAATTTCTTTCCGAATGAGCCGAAACAGATCCAAATCTTCCAGTTGACGTGTTTACATGAAGCATTTTTATTCTGATCAACCCTTCATTCCGAATATTTGTGTCCATGTAAGCATAGCAAATATGTCTTGTGAGATTTGTTTCTACAAGCGAATATTGTTTTATTATGTGCCATCTTGGCAAATTTACTACACTTGGATAGGATAAGGATAACAAATCAAAAAATTTTGCTCATATTCGGTTCAGGTTCGGCCCACTTTACATGCTGCTGTGTTGTGCTACAGCCTATTCAAGTGCTGGAATTTGTTATTTACATGACAACGCCTGAACGCAACACAGGCAGTGTGTGTTTAATGTTTAATGTCAGACCTATTTAGACTTTTTATTCTCTTTTCATTGTCCAAACATGAAAGTTTCTGTACTCAGGCAAATGCACGAAGTCACATTTCTGTGCTCCAGCCAGTAACTTGCTTTATAAAATAAATAAAGAAGCATAATCAAACGTTCAAAATTTGACGTCACGAGTGACATGAGTTGCTTTCGCTGCCACAAATATTTTACCAGCGGCGCTGCTATTTTGCAGCTCTGGCAGCTTTTGGTGTGAATGTATAGTTATGTGGTCAAACTGTTCCAGTTTCATTGGTGCTGGAGTGCTGGTGACTGACTGGAGACACAAAACTATCACTTTAGGTTAGATGTCCTTGTCTGAGAATAACTAAAAATAATAATAATAATTAATGTTGATGTCTAATGAATAATGTTGTATAACCCCTTCTTTATTAATGCGATTTTTAGGGTAATGCATATATATATACATACATACATACATACATATATATATATATGTATATTTAACTGACAAAGCATCTGAATACTGATTTTGACATCAGTTACCATGGCAACAATTGAAGCTTTGAAGCATTCGAGTCAGCACAAGACTTCTCTTGCGGCCAGGCTCTGCTGTCTCCAACGCCGATTCAACATGCTGAAAAGCCGACAAAGGCTGACTAGCACCAACTTTGTAGGACACACCACAAAAACTAGAGCATCAGACGCTCGCTGATGGTCCGACATTGACCAATGGCCGACCGTCAATCTGAAGTGTAGGGATCTTCTCCACTTTTTGGGATAAAGAAGCTCCATTTTGATGCTTTTTCTGCACTCTGGCACCTTACTTACATTAAAACTACAAAAAAGTCTTAGTGTGAATCAATTTATTTTCATTGAGAATTAGAATATGGTTGAGGGGGGCAGATTTGGCCGGCGGGCCATGAGTTGACCATCATTAGGTCATAGTGCAATTTGCTGTGCTCACCCCGTTGACTTCAAAAGAACTGACACCAAATTCTACAGAAAAATTTGAATGCTGTCACTGACGTCTTGACCTTTTTTATTATAGTTTCCTTGACCATAGCCAAATTTTGCCTGAATGCCCAAATTTGTGCCTGAATTTAACCACGTTTAACCACAGAGTTATTGAATTGTAAGTTTAACATGTCCACCACATAATGTAACATACAGAAGTAACGTATCTGTGGTCTGCATTTATTCTGCAGTTTGTGTTGCTTTTACCTGAACAGGTTATCCATCACATTCTGGTAATTTTCCAGACTATTCTGCGGCAGGTAACAGGAAGAAAACACGATGATGTCATTCATACCGTCTCCATAGTAACCTGAGAGGCGACAGAGAAGGTACAGCAAGTGTTTGAGGTCTCGTCTACACGTAAAAAGATATTTTCCCCCTCCATTAAAAAAAACAAAAAATCTTTGTTTTACAAAATGTCTCCGTCCACACTAGAACCACAGACTGTAAAAATAACAAAGGTTGCTACTGTGATGCCACCCTTCAGATTGTGGACTGCCGTTTTGAAGCCTTGAGTTTGGCATTTTTGCTGTTGCCATTTTGTTTTTTTGGAGCCAGAAGTGACCATATTTGAGCAAGAGGGTGGGGCTGTGGAGGAGCGAAGGGTAGATCTGACTGGGAAGCTAACACTATTAGTTGACAGCCTGTCCCTCAAAGCAGCCCGCTGTTAAATATGCATAACTTTGAACCTTAATAAAATGTAAGCAGGTGAGTTATGTTGAAATTAGCTCCAGAGACCAAAACAAATTGTGTACCAGGCTGTAAACATATTTTTATCTGTTGAAAAGTTGGTCTATTACTGCGGACTAAAGTAAACTTTGCATAAGTTAAAATCCTGTTTAAAATCATGTGTTTAATGTGTAAACAATCTCTGTGTTTGTTAGAAGCCAGTGGAAATAGAGCCCTGAAACAATGAAATGATTCTACTGACCTATAGTCCAGTCAATCTAACTCAAAAATGGGCTCACCCTAGGAGAAATTGCAATAGTAATGTTTCATACTTTGCTCTAATACCCTCCTGCATCATATCTCAAGTATACCTTCATGGATTTAGTGGAATGTTAATAATTCCACGTCAAAAGCAACGTTTTAACATTTTACAGTTACATGGTCAGGGTGAAATGATGATAATATTGGAGGGTCTTTACTGCTGATGGAAATGCCCGAACCTCGCTTGCCCTACATGTAAAAGAGAAGACAAAGCACTGTTTATTGTCTTTTTATCCACCAACTATGATGCCCCATTTTGTGTCAGAGGCTGCTTTCTCTTCAGCTATTTTGTAAGGGTGTCAGGCTTGGTTAAAAGTGCCCTTAAAGTCTGTTGAGTCTCTTTCCATGACTGGGGTGAAATCCTGACTTGGGGTAAGGTCTACTACACCTCTCTATCCTGCCTGTGGGAGGCAGGACTCCCTTCAGTGCAAGCTTTAGTGAGGGAAAAGCAAGCCAGGTTTTTGACCAAGATGAAGCTGCATCAGGGCATGCTAGATGACCCCTTGTGGTATGATTTAGAAATGACGATAAAAGACATTCAAGTCATGAGCTTATACTTGTCTGAGATAATGGAGATACAAGATCATATTCAGAGTGACCGTAGAGAGATGATCAAAAAAATTAAGATCTAAAGCGGGAACAAGATACAAGACCTACCAAGTCATCAATCCGGATATATCTGTTCATCCACTTTATACCAGCCCCAGGCCTTATTTCAGAAAGCAGGAAAGCAGAGTTTTCGGTTCCAGAACAGTTGATCAGAATTAGTTCAATCAACTCTGAGTATGTTCAGCCTGAGGGAAGCATGTGCACAGTGAGCACCACAAGCCATCATCAATGGAGTGCAGATAACATGATTTTCAGTGTTCATATATTTTAATATAATTTGCTATATCCTCTTATTCAGCTGTAATCTGATGGGGCCCAAACACAAAGATATTGTACAGACTGGTAAAAGTTTTGCTTATACTTTCTTCATTCTGTCGACATGAGGCTGAGGTTAACTGAATTGCTGAATTGCTGTGAAATGACTTCCGATTCACGTAATCTCCTTTATTCTCAGATGGAGCTATGATGGGATGTTGAGTCCCATAAATGAGCCAGTCACACCGCGGAATCCTTACATATATGAAAAGTATTCATAAATCATTGCATTATGTGTCCACATAGATTCTTTTCTTATTAACACTGACAAACCTGCAGTTCTATGGAATTCCTCTTTTTTTTAAATATTATTTTTTGGGCTTTTATTGCCTTTAATGATTAATGAACCCATGGCCGCTGCAGCAGCAGGAACTGTACAGCTCCTATATAAGGGCCCCCCGCTCCATCCACTAAGCCACTGATGCCCTGTAGTAGTTGTCCTTAATAATCGTTTCTGATTTATGTCCAGGGAAAACCACAAAAACGGGCAAAAGTCTTTTCAGATCCAGGGTCACTTTTCTTACGGCCCGGGCCCGATAAACCGTTGCCTTGCTGATGTGTTCAGTGCCTCTGATGTTAGAAAGAAAACTGCCATTGCCAAAGAAACAAAGGACAATGCATAAAATTTGCTCAGATGAAAATGCAAATCCATGATGTGTAATATTTGATATATCTGGGTGGAACAGATTGTTAGACAAATGAGGTGTTAGGTGAAATTGTGTCTTTCATAGAGACAGTTCAAAGAGAGACATCCAAACAGGGTCTAATCACCATCTCCTTACGGAACAGTCTCTGAGTAAACTGTACTTCAACGTCCACGACTTAATTCACAAAAGGACACGACAGGTCTCTTCTTTCCTGCCACACACCCAACAGGCAGTCAGCCTCAGGCTAACATGTATTTTATAGTTCTGCGTTGAATTGACGGCGTATCCATGGCATAGGCTGCCTATGCCGTAACCTACGCAGTAGCCTAACGTGCACCTCTCCAGAATTGTAACTATGCGTTGCGGTGATGCAGACTTATTGTCTGTCACTGTATACTGACACCATTTCCCTCAGTGGAAACGGAGCTTGTATTTACTTATAGTTCACAGATAAGAAACAATAAATTGTGTAGACAGTACAGCCTCCATTAAAAAAGCATTTTAAGTCTTGTGTGTGATTTATCCTTCAGGGATTTATACTTCAGGATTTATCCAGGTTTCGTATGAGAAGAGGAAATCTCTGCTCGTCGCTAGGCTAATTTATACAATGTAAAATGCCAAAGGCTTGTGCTAATAATGTTAGCATTTTGTATTTGTTTGGAAAACGTGTTTAGTATAAGACAGTTGTTTTATTGGTGAACCTTGTAGTTGTAATGGAGCCAAACTGTGTGCCATTAATGTTACCTTTGTTAGATGTTGCTGTTGTCCCTGGTTTTATATGAGAAGATGAAAAGATCACTAGCTGCTAGGCTAATTTATACAATGTAAAATGCCCTAGGATTATTCTAATAACGTTAGCATGTTTTATTTGTGGGGAAAATGTGTCCAGATTAACACAAGTGTTTGTCTGTGAATGCTGCGAGTTGTAGTGATGCCAATTTGTGTACTTGTGTTTGAAATTCTCTGTTAAGCCATGTTTAATGTGTGTTTAATGTGTGTTTTGGATCAACTAAACTTAACAGCACTTCACAGAAACCTCTACCATCGACTAGTGTTTTGGAGGTGTAACTGCAGAGTGACACAGACACACCACCGCAGAAGTAAAAATGCTCACAACGGTGAAGGCGATGTGCGTAGGCTACGTGCACAACCATAAATCCCCTTTTAGATGAAGCAAACCTGCTTCATGTTGCCATAGTAACTGACTCAGGGTTACACTGAACTGGCTTTGTGAAAAACAAAACTCAGAGATTCCCTCATCCAGGGCCGTCGCAATTGGACAGGCAAACTAGGCAATTGCCTAGGGCCCCGAGCTGGAAGGGGGCCCCCAGACACGGCTGACATTGGTCCATATCAATGACAATATGATGGAACCCCTATAGACACTGCAACAACGACAACACTTTGGAATCCCCCCTAATGGGGCCCCCTACTAGCTGCTGCTTGTGAGTGGCTAAGTAGGGTGACCAGACGTCCTGCATTGTGCGGGACTGGTATCCAGTGACATTTCAGGTATTAGCTGAGCTATTGAGTATCTTTAAGCAGTGAAAGTTATTATTTATTTCTTTTCACTTGTAGGTTAGATTTGTTTATATATGCTACAGTGATTTGTTTTCCACAGAGCTCTACGGTGCGAGAATTTTACTCGCATTTGCGACTAAAAATAGTTTTGCGCAAGCAAAGTAAATCATTCAGGAGCACCCTGTGCGAGTACAGATTTCAACCAGCAGCAGAAACGAAAGGCGAATCCTGCGGGTTAAACCCACAATCCTTGTATGTTGAACGGGGGTCACAGACGCCGTATTCCTGTCAAATACGGCGCAAGATAAGGGCTTACCAGTGATGGAGAAGTCCGGCTCCAGGTGCAATAATTTCCTCTTTGTTGATTTCATGACTGTCCAGAAGTACCTGAACAGCCGAGCCGTGGCAGCACACAGGTATGTGCCGTGTCAGAGGAGAAACGAGCTGTTCACATTTCTCTCTTTGTGGCAGGTAACGGTCCACAAACCTCACCGCACTTTAGGGACTGTTCATTACTTATGAAGGGACTGTTCTTTACTTATGAAGGGACTGTTCTTTACTGTCAGAGGAGGAGGGTGGCTGGTTGATTTTTATTTCATTTATTTATTTTATTTTGATCTCCCCTATGTTAATCACTTATTGATGCTGTTTTTGAAGTATGAATAAGTCAATAAGTAATTTATTCCATTGAAATATCAGTGATGTATTATAGAAAAGTGATTTATCTTTTTATAAATGACAAAAGGCACATCTGCCTAATCTTTGCTGTGGTATCGTGATACTACTCAGAACTGTGATACTGTCACTGGTATCGTAACGTGGGTCCCAGTTTTGGTACCGTGACAAGTCTCTGATGATTAAACTTCGCGCTGGGGGTGGGTGTCCCACATTGTCCCTCACAAACCTACTCCTTGTCCCACATTTAGTTTATTGGGACCTGGTCACCCTAGAGGCAGGGTGGGGTGGGGAGCCTCCAAGGTGCCTCTTGCCTGGGGCCCCCAGAGAGTCTTGAAACAGCCCTGTCTACATAAACTATTAACTATTTAAAAAACTAGAATTTACCAATAAAAAACTATCAAGTTAAACTAATAATTTCCTATTTTCTCTTGCCTGGGGCCCCCAGAGTGTCTTGAAACAGCCCTGTCCTCATCTCAGGCTTAACATACTCAGAGTTTTCACTAATGCTGCTTTCTGAAATAGGGCCGTGGATAGCTGTTCAGCATCAGTTGAACAGTGATTTATCTAGGTAAAAAGAGAACCAGCTGTGTAGTACTGAAAACCCAGTGTTGACCCATAAGTTACCTTGCTAACTCCAAATCACACTTCGTAGTACAGGCCTCAGGAGTCCGCCATTGTTGTTGTTGTTTCTGGCGGATGCTTATTACACAAAGCAACAATGGGCATGTGAGAATTAAAGAGATCATCTCATTGTTTCCCAAAGGCTCCATTTTACATCCATACAGATACACAGTGACTAATATTTAGAACAGTGGTTCCCAACTGGTGGGTCGCAGTCCAAAAGTGGGTTGCAGGTTCATTCAGAATGGATCGCAAGTGACCGCGCAAGTGTCAAGTTTGTAAAAAGTATAGAGCTTTTATTTCGAAGTGCATCTAGTTACTGCTGTGGGGTGAGTGATTAACCGACAGAGCTTGACAGAGACAGAAAACTAACTCAATGATACTCTCAACTCTCATTTTGAACATTTCTCACCTGTGTGCTGGCTCCAGCAGGTGGGCCTGCTGAACCGCCATCTTTGCGAGCGGACACTGCTCAGAATCAGAAATTTCACCACTTCAAGTATGGCTGTTGAAGTGCACAGTCTGGCATAATTTATCGCTCTGCTTCTGCAATTGGTCCTCAGTACTGTCTTAAACAGCTTTCACATCTCACATCTCCAAAAATGTCGGAGTAAATTTCAAAAAAGGCGATATTTGGATAAACGTAGGCCACGTACTTAAGAATAGCCTATTAAAACTTAATAAAGTGACAAAGCCTAGCCTTACAGTGGAAATTAAAATAGACTTGGCCGTGCAGGATATTGGTGCATACCGTGCAAATGGAAGTTTGTCACTGACATCAGTTTTTTAACTGCCAGTCACATGGTGAAGCCTACATAAAGTGTTGAGTTGAATTGTTTTAGTTCCTACGTTCCCTGAAGGCAACGTGATAGGGGAAGGTCCCTAGCCTTTTTGTTCAGCTGTCTGTCATGATTCCACACCCCTCTCAGTTGATGCCCCCACGCTAGATCAGGGCCAAAAGTCTGAAACTGAAAAGAAAAGATCTGAAACTGAAAAAGAAAGATCTGAAAGTGAAAAAGATTTGAAACTGTAAAAAATAAGATCTAAATCTGAAAAGATAAAACGTGCAACTGAAAGAAATAGGATCTCAAATATCTAAATATATGAAAGTGAAAATAAAAATAAATAATTTATTCAAAAGAATTACCAAAGTGAATCATAATTATATTTAACCTGAAAAAACATTTTGTACACTTATTTTTATTTTGAATACCTTGATGTATTCTTCAAAATTCAAGATAATTCAAGATCAAAACTTGAATTTTCAGTTTCAAATTTCATTTTTTCAAGTACAAAACATTTGGTCCCAATATAGCTCCATACAATGACATATCGAAACACAAGTATGATGCTGAATGTATTGTGGACCTCAAACTAATGACTAAGAAGGAATCTGGATCCTGTTGCTGGACCAGTCGGGAACCACTGGTTTCGAAAATCCGCACTGTAGAGAGGGTTTTTCAAAAAATTTTAGTGACACAAAACTCTGTGTGGACGAGTGGCCAAAATGTAGAAGACAATATTAGTTTTCAAAAATATCTATTTACATGTAGCCAGGAGCTGAGATAACTGCAACCAAGCTGAGTCATCGTACCTCCGTGTGACAGCACCCTGAGGAATGGCTCCAGGATGCTCATGTTTACCCGGCTCTCCTGAGGAGGAACACCTGTGGAGAAACAGCGCCACCTGGTGCCTTGACTGTCCACCATGTCCTCCCGTTCCAGAGCTCCCAGTTCACTCTGGTCCATCCCCGGTGCAGAACCGGTCTGTGAGTCGAACCTGGACCTGGGACTGAAGCCGGGCGCTCTGCGACGCCGGGATGCCACGCCGAGACGCCGCAGGTCGTCTGGAACACAAACCATGTGATGTCATCAAAGGTGCTTTGGGATGGAATAAATAAACAGGTGGTCATCCTCAACAGTTCTGACCTTTGACCTCTCACCTTCCAGGTCCAGGTCGTAGATGGGGAAGGGCAGTGATTCGCTGTCAGAGGGCGTTTCCATGGCATCCAGGTCAAAGTCCAGCCCCGTGTCATCATCGTCTCCAAGTGAAGGGGAGAGAAAGGCTGAGGAGAAGTCGTCTGAAATTGTAGACTCACTGCGATCTAAAGAATTAGCATTGTTGGCTGGAGTTAGCATGTATCATTATTATTATTATTATTATTATTATTATTAATAATAATAATTATCATTATTATCATTATTATTATTATTGTTATTATTATTATCAATTATATTATTACCTAAAGACAAACTGAGAGCTGGAGCCACCAGGACTTTCTTCTTCATTGGTCGTGACAAGGCCAGACTGCTGGGAGGAGCTGAGACAGGAATTGAGGTCACACATTCAGTCTTTCACCTCACACTTTATCATTTATCTTAACAATCTGTTCCACCCAGATATATCAAATATTACACATCATGGATTTGCATTATCATTGGAGCAAATTTTATGCATTGTCCTTTGATTCGTTGGCAATGGCAGTTTTCTTTCTAACATCAGAGACACTGAACACATCAGTGAGGCAACAGTTTGTCAGGCCGTAAGAAAAGTGTCTCTGGCTCTGAAAAGACTTTTGCCTGTTTTTGTGGTTTCCCTGGACATAAATCAGAAAGGATCATCAAAGAGGAATTCCACAGAACCGCAGGTTTGTCAGTGTTAATAAGATATTAATCTACGTGGATACATGATGGAATGATTTCTGAATACTTTTCATATATTCAAAAATTTCTGCGGTGCAATTGGCTCAATTATGAGACTCACATCCCATCATAGGTCACACTGTTAAGATAAAATGTTTGTAAAATGTTTCTATATTTTCTGTATATTAGCCACATTAATGCATCACATTACACAACGTCACTTCACGTTACCTATCAATACCCTCTGCAGTCTTTTCCCATCACACCTCACACTGTTTAGCTGCAGCTGCCGTATTAGATTTTTATTTTATTTTTTTCAAGACATGCAAAGTCTTCATTCGCAGTCAATCTCCGATTCAGTTGGGATGAAATAAGTGGCTGAACATACTCAGAGTTGATTGAGCTAATTCTGATCAGCTGTTCTGGAACCGGAAACTCAGAGTTCCTCAGCTCAGGCTGAGAGGTTTCTTGAGCCTGCTTTCTTAAGTAGGGCCCAGGACTTTCTTCTTTGTTGGTTGTGACAAGGCCAGACTGCTGGGAGCATAGATATATATAATCATAGATGACTCATTCCTGTGGCTACTGTGTGTCAACGTCGCCGCCATCTTGGGGAGGTCACGGCCGGCTGGCTAGTACTGTTGTGTATAGAGATAAGTCTTCAGCAAACTTTGCGTGCTGACTCAAAAGACTCAAAGTGTAATTGGGTGCCAGTCCAAAAAATTACAGCAAAGCAGAAAAACCCGACAGCACTCACTAATAAGTATAATACTTTTTAATATAGTGGATTGCACAGCAGCAGTCGAACGAATAGCCGTCCTCAGCGTTAAATGGTTTGTGGGCGTGTGTCCCTTTTAACAGAAACCAGCTGGTTCAGATTAACATACAAATATGGATCATTTATAAATGCAACCTCAGTGATACATTGAAAAGTCTGAATATAATAAAAAAAATAGAATGTGTATATATATATATATATATATATATATACACATTTGTACTTCAAGATTTTCTATTTTTTTATTATATTCAGACTATTAGATGTATCACAGAAATAAGAATTTCTATTTTAGTTTTTTTAATGAATATTTTATTTGTTGTTGGGTTTTGTTTTTGCAGATTTTAGTTTTTACTCAATCATAAAGATGTAATTCCTCTCATATTTTTAGTTTTGCTGTTGTTTTTGATTATTTGAATACTTTATTCTTATTTTTTAAATTGATGTTTTATGTTTTATTGTTTATTTTGTGTTTTTATCTAGATATTTTGTATTATATTTTGTAAGTATTTCATAAAGTTTACTCATTTATTTTATTTAATTTATTTTCATATTTATTTATATTTTGTATTTAATTTTTATTTTAAAATCTTGTTATTATTATTATCATTAATACGCATTTTAAAGAAAGCATAATGTACAAAATTTGCCCCATTACAATTTTAAATTAGAGCAAATTATACGAGACAAACTTCGTCTCCAGGGCTGTGGGTGTTAAAGGATTAATGATGGACAGTAAAATAACTAAAACTCAACAGAAATCAAACTGTAAAGTTTTCAGAAGCATTGTGGAGTAAGGTCTTTCTCCATACCTGGCCGGTCTGCGATTGGCGTGGATGCTTTCTGTTCTGTGACAAACTCGTCTTCAACAGCTCCTGAAGACAGGAAGTCAGAGATCAGAAGAAGAAGATGAAGAAGAAGAGGAGGAGGAGGAAAAGGAGCTGCCCTGGATATATGTGTGTATGTATCATTCTCATCAAAACTCATTAAAACTACCAAAACGTATTATTATCATTATTGATGATGATGTTGTTGTTGTTGTTGTTTTCCTGTGGGCAGCAAAGGGCGCTGCAGCTCAGGAGCTAAGAAAATTACCTGTGTGGAGGTGAGACTGCTGCTCTGGCTCACCTGCTGGAGGACAAACAGTTGTCATGAAGAGAGACAGACAGACTTTCACATAAAGAAGAGATGAAGATGGACTTGTCTTCCTTACCCTCTTTGTCTGCAGTTGAAACATCTTTGCTCTCCATACCTGCTGACTCAGCACCTGCTGCTGCTGCCATGACATCATTGACCAGTTCACCAGTTTCCTTGTCCTCAACCTCCTCCACTTCATCCTCCTCATCTTCTGTGGAGGAAGATCAGACTGATTGTCACATACACAGTTCAACATGTCGTGAAATTATTTTGTGCCTAGCTCCAGGAAACAACTGACAAATAGAAAAAACATATAACATAATAATAATTATTTCTTTATTTATATAAATATAATATACAAATATAATATAAATACCATAGGAAAAAGACTACTTATATATGGATAGATAGATAGATAGATAGATATAAAAGTAAAGAAAATCAGTTTAACAGATTAAACGATTGTAATAATAACTGAATGATTTCCTGTGTGTAGACACAGGTCAGTACCTGTCTGATCATCAGGTGGTGCAGCAGGACTCATGGTGGTTGTTAAAGTACCATTAGCAGCTGCAGTAGTATTAGCAGTGGTGGTAGTATCACTAATAGTAGTAGTTGCAGTAGTCGTAGTATCAGTAGTATTACTTATGATGTCTTCCAGAGATGACCTGCACACAGAAACATTTACAGACTGTAAACTGACCTAACTGATTATTTTGATTTCACTGATATTAGTTATCATCATGTACTGCACACAAGTACCAATATAAGGTATTTGTACTTGAGATTTGTTTTTCCTTTTCATGCTACATTCTACTGAAATCAAACTGTTTATACAACAAGTGCAGCTGAAACCATTAGTTCATTAAACAGTTAGTGGATTGACAGAACACTTGATGGCTCCTGCTGCAAAAACTTTTCCTTTAAATAAAGTTAGTAATTGTAACGTATTAGTGATAATGTTAGTATCAGTGATAATATCAATAATTGTAAAGTATTGGTAGTAATGTTAATAATTGTAAGGTATTAGTAATAATGTTAATAATCGTAACATATTAGTTGTAGGAGCCAGGAATTAATTAATAGGTGTGTCTTTTCTATTCGTAATAAGGGGAAAGGATATTGATTGTTATTCTTTGGTCTTGTTTGTTTTGGTTATGATATAATTTATTTTGTGGTCATATTGCGTAGGGGGATAGCGGGTAACATCTATGGGCAGGCATATGAAGTTAATATATTCACCTGTTCACTCCTCATTGTGTGGGAGAGAGAGGGGGGGTGAGCTGGGTTGCCATATTTTTTTGTTACTTTGATTATCAGTTTGTGCACTTTATCATGAGTTGATCATCTTTTTTCATTAATAAAAAGTTAAACTTATTTTCGAAATCTCAGTGGATTCTTCTGTTAAGAGTGTCAGACAGTCAGGCCCAACCTCAGTCCCTCAGCGACTCCTTTGCTGTTTGAAGTCGCTACATTAGTGATAATGTCAATATTTGTATTGGTAGTAATGTTGATAATCGTAACATATAAGTGATAGTTTCAATAATTATGAAGTATTGGGTAGGTAGTGAGGTTATTAATTGCAATGTATTAGTGATAATGTTAATAATCATAATGTATTGGTGATAATGCTAATAATCTTAACGTATTTGTGATAATGTTAATAATCGCAACGTATTAATGTCAGTAATTGGAAAGTATTGGTAGCATTGTGTCAATAATTGTAAAGTATTAGTGATGATATTAATAATTGTTACATATTAGTGATAATGCTAATAATTGTGATGTATAAATGATAATGTCAATAATTGTAACGTATTAGTGATAATGGTAACAATTGTGACGTATTCAGGGGCGGAAATCCCGGGGGGGACAGGGGGGACATGACTCCCCCTTCAGTAAAACTGTCCCCCCTAGAATAATTTGAGACACAATTAATAATTTTTGAACAATGCAGAAGTATTTATTAAAAGCACAATGTAAGCGGTTCTCATTATAATCGCACAATAATGTGCTATTTAAATCTTAAAAGATTTAGTCCCCCCTCCCATTCCTAGTAGTGGTATATCCCACACTCTTTCCAATGGGCAGGGCTACTTGGCAGCAGTAGCAGCGTGTGGCTGGAACCGCTGCCCACATCGCCATCGCAGGGTAAGATGTTCACTCACGTGGACACAGTTTAACTTACACAAGTTACAACACATCCCATTTACTGTTACAACAAGCCCCAGGCCCAGGCTGATAATATAAACTTTCTCATGCATTGTTCAAAAGCCTACTCAATTACGAGTGCTGCTAAGCTAAAAGCTAATGATTAAGCTCAGAGTTTAGTGATAGTCAGAGAGGACAGGAGAGAAAGAAGAGGGAGAGGACAGGACAAGAGCAGTCAGTGGCGGAGCGGCTCGTAATCTATGGGTACCTGTCTGTAGACTCTCCACCTGTCAGTGAGACATGAAAGACGTGCAGTCTAACGGACGAGGAGCGGTCATTACGTGCGACTATTACGCACGGTTGTGATGGAGCGTAGCTAATGGGTACCTTTTCTGTAGGCTCTCCACCTGTCAGTGAGACAAACATGAAAGACGCGCAGTCACGGACGAGGAGCGGTCATTACGCGCGACTATTACGCACGGTTGTGACGGAGCGTAACTAATGGGTACCTGTCTGTAGGCTCTCCACCTGTCAGTCAGACAAACATGAAAGATGTGCAGTCACGGACGAGGAGCGGTCATTACGTGCAACTATTACGCATGGTTGTGACGGAGTGGCTTGTAGCTAATGGGTACCTGTCTGTAGGCTCTCCACCTGTCAGTGAGACAAACATGAAAGACGTGCAGAACGGACAAGGAGCGGTCATTACGCGTGACTATTACGCACGGTTGTGAGGTGTGCAGCGGCAGATCTCACAGCACACTGTTTATAAACCAGTTTACCAGTTTAATTGCAGGAAATGTTGTTGTTAAGCCATTTCTCATAAGTATAGACACTCACTCTGCCTGTTGGAGAGATAGAGAGAAGATTAAAGCGTCATATTGCGGTAAAAGATGTTGTATAAAAGACAGGCTACAACTTTTTTTCCTTGTCCCCCCCTGGAATTATTCTCTAAAATTTTACTGTTTATTGTCCCCCCCAACTATGAAATGGGATTTTCGCCCCTGGACGTATTAGTAATAATGTTAATAATTGTAAGGTATCAGTGATAATGTTGTATTGGTGGTAATGTTAATAATATTTATCATTACTAATAGTAAATAGTAATGGATTAGTAATAATGTCAATAATTGTAATGCATTAGTGATAATGTTAATAATTGTAACATATGAGTGATAATGTTAATAATTGTATTTTTTTTTTTTTTTTAGTCTAAAGTAGAATAAACTGAAGTGCATGAACTCTGACCTGCGGGTGTCTTCTTCTTGTTCTTCCTTTCTGGACTCCATGTTGTTCCTGCTGACAAATTACCTGGTTACAATTTAAGTATTTACATTTTATGAATATATAAGCTGTAGTTACTTTGCAGATTAAAATGTTACACATTAAACATGTGACTGTATAAAGTATGATGCACTGCGATGAAGTACATGATCCAACAGTGTGTAACCTTGTTAAACACCTTGACAGCATTTACATTAAAAGTTGACAGTAGTCATCAGGTAAGGGCCGTTTCATAGTCGACGCAAAGGCACTCAGACGCGAAAGCATTGGGATGCATCAAGATGCATTGGCCGCCATGATGCGTGCTTGCGTCTCAAAATGTGCTGTCCCTTTTTTTGATACGCGATGCAGCAACACGTGTAATACCATGCGTTGCCAGCGAGGGTGATAATGAAAAGCGACGTACTTGAAATTAACCACTTTTTGTTATTCACAGAAGAAGGAGGTTTGAAATATGGCAGACGAGGAGGAAAAACTTTGCGAACTCGTACGGGCACACCCCCATTTATGACAGTTCAAGTGCCCTGCACTCTAATAAAATAGCAGTAGAAAATGCGTGGAAAGAGATAGCAATGGCAATGGGAAAGAGCATCGAAACAGTAAAAAAAGATTGTAAAAACGTGAGGGACATTTTGATCTGAACATCACCTGGAATGTCACCTGGAATGTACGGTCACTCTGCTACCCCTTATTGCGCGAGGAATGTATTGCATTTCAAGTGTCGCCCTCGTTGCTTGCATTCAATGTGTTGACTATGAAAAGAATTGCGCTGCTCGCGTCACTTGCGTCGCTTGCTCGCGTTGCGTGTGTTGACTATGAAACGGCCCTAAGAATATAAATGGATACATACAGTAAGACCGGCCATTGTTTCTGAGTACTTTTATTTTTGATACTTTAACTACATGAAGCCTTGTGTAGGCCTACTTAAGTAATTATTAATACAGGACATTGTTACAATGGAGTATTTTTATACTATACTGCTGTACTTTAATTTTAAGGTCCTATATAACTTACAGAAAAAGCTTATTAGTGACAATGGTGTTGTTTAGTGAAATGCAGAAGGTATCCTGTTGGTCACACTAGATATGAGCAAGCACTTGGACATGACATGACAAACAAACGTGATGAAATGAATGTGACTGACCGCCATTGTATATGGCAGGTCCTGTTAGCTAGGTTACAGATAGCTTACCTTACCTTAGGTTACATTTAGCTTGTTGGCTAACCCTGCCTTGCATTATGCTTGACAAGTAAAAACATTATCAATGACATGTTACATCATTTATTGTCGGCTAAATCAACACCATTTGTATGTAAGCATCATGGATCATGTTAGCTGGCGAAGTAATTTGGCAAGCTAGCCAACTCATAAAACCACTCAGATATTTTGCTAACGTTAGTGAGCAAACAAGCTCAGCTTAGCCAGCTAGCTACACTGCATTGATCTGGCATTGGTTGCTTTGTTCTGTTAGGGTCATTCCTAGCATTCTGTGTAATTTGAGTCCCCATGACATAATACAGTCTTAGTTTTGTGTAAAAATGGGCTAACACTTATTTTTAAAAGCTTGTCTTACATGGTAACCACTTCTACCATCAAACAATGATATGTATGCAGGATTAATTAAAATTAACATTATTATTATTAACAATATAACATTTAACATTACTTTAAATTAGCATAAGTAGGTGAAATTATCATGTCCCCAATTTTGTTTGCTCAATTTCAATTACAAATATAGGTAAAAGAAATCTAACAAATTCTACATTTTTTTATTATATTTGTATAGCCTAATTTATAATATTGCTCACCACGTTATTTTTCGTCATTTATATATTTTTAATGCTAAAATTTTTTAAATATGTTGTGCCCCTGGGTCGATTGCCCACCCTCCAAAATATCACACCCATCCTGTCCTGACACTGTCTTTGACACTGTCCTACAGACACAGTTTCTGGGCTGTTACAACCTCCTGTGTCAAATTAAAGGCAAGACAACTCTGTCCCCCCCATTACACGATCGTCCTATACAGCACAGTAAGGCAGAATAACAGTTTGATATTCCTGCTTTGAACAGGCAGTAAAAGGAGCTAAGGTTAGAAGACAGTTGATGGTTAAGTGTGTGTGTATGTGTGATACTTTAAATGGTAATTTTAATGATTAATAGTTGTTATTAATGTTGTTAATTAATGTTTAGAATTGTTTATGTTCATTGTCATATCTCAAATGTTCATTTTAAACTTAATTACATTTCTTTTCTTTAATGTTGTTCACTGGTGTAACGTCCACCCTGTTACATCCTGTCCATCCTGTTACTCTTCTGTCCACCCTGTTACCTGTGTGTTGTTGTTTTTGTTTTGTTTTTGTTTGTTTTTTTATGATAATTAAATAAAATCAACAAATATTAAGCATGTCTTAGTGGTTATTTGCATGCTATGAAATGGCAAAATGAAATCACTGAAATACGGAGCAAAATTCCATTAAAAATCCCTTTGATTCGAAAAGAAATGTGTTGAAATTAGATTAAACAGAGCAAGACGTTTTTCAAAATAATTTTTTTTGTTTTTGAATACTTGTTAAAGGTTATTTTGAAGATAAAGTAAGGGACATTTTAAGTCTTAAAAAATATAAATATTGTAATAACTGTGCATTCAAAACACATATTAATAGAGATGAGAATGTCCTGTAACAGGGTGGACTTTTGGTGTCTGTCACATGCAAAGAATTTGGTTGAAAATATTAGATCATAATATCTGGAGCTGGACCGATACATTTTTCTTATACTTCATCATGCCCTCATTTACATGAAATAATAAAATCCTGTAAAATTTTACATTTTTTGATAGAAGTTAACCAGGCTAAAATGGCACCGCATAATAGGAATGACCCAGTAGCTGATAAAGTTATTTTTTCAAATGCCAAGCCAGCCAACTTAACAGCCAGATCAGCCCTGGAGTCTGGATAAATTAAATGATGTTAATCACTTCAGACAAAATTTTGCTACATTAGCTAGGAATTCATTCATGTTAGAAAGCAACTAAAACCACATATCCCAATATATTTCACATCAGTGTTTCCTCTGATTTTTGCAGCATCAGGGACACAGAATTTATGATGAGGCACTGAATTATATGTTTTTTAGTTGCTGTTTATGACCAAAAAAATGAGTTTTTCTTTTTTTTTTACATTCCTATCTTTTTATTAACCTATTAATTTATAATGTATATGACAAGCAAAATGCAGTCTGTGTTTCTGTTTACTTGCATTAAACTTTTCATTTTTTTATTAAACATAATTATGTGAGTACTTCACCTCCTATATATTAGCAGATCTGTAGTATAATATATCCAAATAACTCACAGAAAAATTAGACTCAGATCAAAACTGAACTAAACTACAGGCTGTCAATAAACCTCTGGCCACACAGTGTCTGAGGTTGACTTTGTCATGCTCATATCTCACTGCTGAAGTAATCTGTATTTGTGCTGCTCTTATCTCAGAGGACCAGGTTACAACGAAGGAGACTGAAAGGTTGAAGACAAACTACAAACTTTTCTCAAATGACACAATGAAGAAACTAAAGATTTACAATGAAAACATAGAAGTAAAGACTCACAGCAGGTCTGCGCTCTCAGGGAGTCAACAGGAAGCTCACTTACACCCAGCAGCGGCAGCCAGGTGAAGTGAGACAGGTGAGACAGGTTCAGGACAAACAGCCGAGATCACTGAGAAACCTACCACTCACCTGGAGACTCACCTGATGACATCACAGTGACTTTTTATGAGTTTATGAGCGGACTCTAACACTTCACCCGTCTGTCTCTGTCTTTGTGTACTCTCAGCCAACAGGACGGCAGAGGTGTGGTGTGTTTCCACAGCAAGGGCCTGGCCCTGTTACCACGGAGATATGACTGTACAAGCAGGGGTGGAAACAGCAGCATTGCATGCCCCTGCCTGCTGAGTACACACACACACACACACCTATATGTGTGTGTGTGTGTGTGTGTGTGTGTGTGTGTGTGTGTGTGTGTGAGAGTTGATTACTCAATGATGAGTTTTTATTTTCCTGTTGTTGTCGTTGACAAGTTGAGTCGAGTTTATTCCAACTGGCCAACCTTTGACTCAACAGGTTTGTCATTTAACGGCTTCACAGAGCAACAGGATTAACAAGTCTGCAGTCATGCTGGCAGCTCTGTGTGGCTGCACAGTGAGGCCTCGTCCACATGGACATAGATATGTGTTTTCTCTTTCTGTCAACACGCACACTATGTTTTAAAAGTAACTTAATTCACTGGGCCAAGGTGGAACGTTTACTTGTAGTGTTACTCAATGCATGAGTTGACAACATGAATCTATCAGGACACCTTAAATGTCATTGTGACGGGGTGCCCACTGGCTCAGTGGGTAGAGCAGGTGCCCATGTACAAAGGCTGGTTCTCACACTATGAATCCCCCCACAGGCACGATGAACACAAGTAGTTCTCTAGGAGCTGGTTTAATGAAGCCATCCAATCTCCATCACACCGTGAAAACTGTACACAAATAACACAATTGACACAATTAGACATAATAAAATAAAGTAAATTAGACCAGACAAAACGTAGGCTACACACATGTAGCTAGCAATACAATTTGACCAAATAATAAGAAACAAAAAGTACCTCGTTGGCTGCATGCCATAAAAGAGGGAATTGTCCATGAAGCGGGAGGTGATTGTCCTTAATGTCGTTTGTTGTCTCGTCTTGTCCGACAACTAACTTATAAACTTTGTAAATAGCCAAATAACCGCGAGGTCATCTGACAGTCCATCAATCATCTCTTCATGTCAGGAATGAAGAAAGCGGAAGTACGTAACAGGAAAGGAAAGTGAAAGTACGTCTCCAAACAACGCAAGACCAGGCTTGTAGACCATGTACATAGGAATAATCAAATTAATCAAATCATGTGTCACTCAATAAAACTACTATGAAAATACAATCATGTCTCCAATTATTAATATGAAATGTAAACATGTAAATATGTATGTAAATAACTATGAATTAACTGTTTATATGAACCAATCATGGAATCAATTATGCATTAATGAACTACATCAGTGAACTGTATGCACCATCATGGATACATTTACACACACTGTTTACTGCAAAAGCAAAGGTCAGTGCATCATAAGTCTCTTGAACTACAGGAACATCTTTGTGTTGACAATATCCTGTGCATTGGCATCTCACCATTTCAATGATGGCCTGAGGAGCCCATCAGGGATAGTGGGTCTCAACTAGCCTTTATCATCCGTGTAGTAGCCATTTTGCAGAGGATTCAAAGCTACTTGCTGTTGAATGCTTGCCTGGCCCCAAACTCGAGCTTGCACATGTTGCTCCCCTATCAATAAGCTGCTTCAGGACATCCTCTGTAGGTGGTAGCTTGTTACGCTCTGCCTTACTTGTCAAAATGTACCATCTCAGCTCTGGAATGTTTCTTGTTGTGGTTCCTTTTGAGTAATAGGAAGCACACACAAACCTAATCAAATGTTTCTGTTGTTCTTCCCAGTGGTGTAAGGTAGTTACAATGGGCCCCAGTGCACGCTATTATGAGGAGCCCTATTACGCCCTAGTTACAAGTTATGAAGCACACACACACGCACACACACACACACACACACACACACAGTTTTAGGTGTATATATATTTTAGCAACAGTGTGTCTTACTGCCGCTTTTACGTTACATCCACTTGCAGATACTTTATATTGGACACTTTAACATACATATTACACAGCAATCATCATAACCTGTATAAGACAAATCTACAAAAGAAAATAGGAAATTATTAGTTTAACTTGATAGTTTTTATTGGTAAATTATAGTTTTTTAAATAGTTTATGTAGACAGGACTGTTTCAAGACTCTCTGGGGGCCCCAGGCAAGAGGCACCTTGGAGGCCCCCCACTCCACCCTGCCTCTAGGGTGACCAGGTCCCAATAAACTAAATGTGGGACAAGGAGTAGGTTTGTGAGGGACAATGTGGGACACCCGCCCCCCAGTGCGAAGTTCAGTCATCAGAGACTTGTCACGGTACCAAAATTGGGACCCACGTTACGATACCAGTGACAGTATCACAGTTCTGAGTAGTATCACGATACCACAGCAAAGATTAGGCAGATGTGCCTTTTGTCATTTATAAAAAGATAAATCACTTTTCTATAGGCCTAATACATCAATGATATTTCAGTGGAATAAATTACTTATTGACTTATTCATACTTCAAAAACAGCATCAATAAGTGATTAACATAGGGGAGATCAAAATAAAATAAATAAATGAAATAAAAATCAACCAGCCACCCTCCTCCTCTGACAGTAAAGAACAGTCCCTTCATAAGTAAAGAACAGTCCCTTCATAAGTAATGAACAGTCCCTAAAGTGCGGTGAGGTTTGTGGACCGTTACCTGCCACAAAGAGAGAAATGTGAACAGCTCGTTTCTCCTCTGACACGGCACATACCTGTGTGCTGCCACGGCTCGGCTGTTCAGGTACTTCTGGACAGTCATGAAATCAACAAAGAGGAAATTATTGCACCTGGAGCCGGACTTCTCCATCACCGGTAAGCCCTTATCTTGCGCCGTATTTGACAGGAATACGGCGTCTGTGACCCCCGTTCAACATACAAGGATTGTGGGTTTAACCCGCAGGATTCGCCTTTCGTTTCTGCTGCTGGTTGAAATCTGTACTCGCACAGGGTGCTCCTGAATGATTTACTTTGCTTGCGCAAAACTATTTTTAGTCGCAAATGCGAGTAAAATTCTCGCACCGTAGAGCTCTGTGGAAAACAAATCACTGTAGCATATATAAACAAATCTAACCTACAAGTGAAAAGAAATAAATAATAACTTTCACTGCTTAAAGATACTCAATAGCTCAGCTAATACCTGAAATGTCACTGGATACCAGTCCCGCACAATGCAGGACGTCTGGTCACCCTACTTAGCCACTCACAAGCAGCAGCTAGTAGGGGGCCCCATTAGGGGGGATTACAAAGTGTTGTCATTGTTGCAGTGTCTATAGGGGTTCCATCATAAAGTCATTAATATGGACCAATGTCAGCCGTGTCTGGGGGCCCCCTTCCAGCTCGGGGCCCTAGGCAATTGCCTAGTTTGCCTGTCCAGTTGCGACGGCCCTATATGTAGAATAAGTTTATAATTTGTTATAGACTGACACTGTTTTACAAAACCAGAAAACTATGATGGAGATGGGTTTGACATTTTTAGGGCATGTATGGAAAACAGCACCATTTTTGTTTTAACGTGAGTTCTTCTTTGAACACGGGCGTATTTCCAGGTGCCAGTCAGGCACCTCCACCCCCACGCATAATACAAGGTTGAATCATCAGCATAAAAAAACATTTTTGCACTTTTAGTAGCCCAAGCAAGATCATTAATACAGTGAACAGTTATGGTCCAAGGCAACTGCCCTGAGGCACACCACATACTAGATCCCTGCTGTTCGATATGCCACCATTCAAATACACCTGTTGTGATCTAGAAGAAGGAGAAGATAATTATGGATCCACTTTAGCGCCAGTGGTCCAAAACCATAACATTCTAGTTTCTTTACCAAGAAAGAATTGTCAAGTAAATTGAAGGCAGCAGTGAAATCTAACAACACAGCCCCCTCCATCAGAGAATTATCAATGGCTCTAAACCAGTCATCAGTCATTTTTATCAGAGCAGTAGATGTGGAGTGGCCAGTTCTGTATGCATGTTGAGACATAGTTATTAAATTATTCATAAAGAAATAATCATGAATTTGCATGTGTAGAATTTTTTCGATGATTTTGCTCAGAACAGGAATAATGCTAATCGGTCTGGAGTTGCTCTCATTAAAAACATATTTTTTATCTTTGGGTATTGGGATGATTTTAGCTGTCTTCCACAACATAGGACATTTGCATACACATAGACATCTATTAATGATATAAGTCACAGGAGATGAAATACAACTAGCAGTAATCCTTAATAAATTACTATCCAGATTGTCTACACCGGCTAGTTTGTTGCCAGGGAGAGAGCAGAGAAGCCTTTCCACCTCTCTGATTTCAACCTGGCAAAATTCAGAAGTGCATACTTTGTCTTTCATTATAATATTAGTGATTACATAATTTGATTTATGGTTGTCAGAGGTGTTCATGCTTTCACTAAGTTGAGATAATCTTTTTCATAAAGAAATTGTTAAAGTGATCAGCAATGTCATTTGGCTTAGTGAGAGCAAAACCGTTTGATTCAACTAAGGGAGGACAAACATGTTTTCCGACCCATCATTTCATTAAAAACACTGCATAGATTTTTCCATCAAGTTTAGCATTATTTAATCTTTGTTTATAGTAATCCCTCTTTTTCATTTTATTTAATTTTGTGACTAGATTACGTAAAGAGCAATACTTCCGTCTGTCATCAATTAATCCAGATCTTATAGCAACCTTTTTAGCAGCGTCTCTCTCTGTCATTAAATTCACTAAAGTTTGGTCAATCCATGTGGCTCTTTTATGCTTGACTGTAAACTTTTTTAAAGGAGCATGCTTGTCTACAATCTTCATATACTTGGACATAAATAAAATGAGTGCAGTCTCGGGGTCATCCTCCTCATTATATACATCACTCCAATTTATACTTGATATATCATTGATAAAGCAATCTTCATTTTTTTTTTATATGAACATATAAATAATATTTGCTCTGATTTTCTGAAGTTTTATCTTTCTAGTAACAGCAATTATATTATAAATAAAAATAAATAAAACCAATTGGCATAGAGACCACTTTGGAACATAGATCA